TTATTTATGCACATACATTTTTTCATTTTTTAGAACTTAATTTTTACTTTTTTTCCATTTTTCATTTTTCTTTGGCGACGTATATATATATATATAATAATAATAATAATATTTTTTTTTTGACTAAAAACATTTACCTTGATTGTGCTGCTCGGGCTACATGAGGGAGGAGAGGTGTTGAAGACGAATGGGTAGGTGTGGATTTTGTAGATGAGGGGAGGAAGGGCGTCGGCACAGTTGAGTGGAGTGGAGGCTGGGGTCGGGAGGTAGGAAGGATTACGAGTAGGCTCTGTCGAGTGACGGAAGGGGTTTGGCTAGTTGGAGGGCGCCTATAGGTTGACGGGGCTAGGTTGATAGGTCAGTAGGTCGGGTTGGCTTGAGGAAGAAGAAGATGCGGTTGTAGTTACTTGATCGAGCAGAAGATGGATCACATAATCCTACTACTGGAGTCGGATGGAAGCGGGAAGGAGGAAGAGGCATTCTAATAGAGGAGATTCAGTCGCGTGAGGCTTCAGATTGGGCAGAGTCGGAGGTCGAGGTTCGTGAGCTGGCTTGAGGTTGTCATCTATGAGGGAAATTGGAAGACGGATGGGATCGAGAGATGCAGGAGGTGGAGTCGGGTTCGAATGGCAGTTTAGGTAGTGTGTGAGGTAGAGACGAGATGTCTGCGATTTCGGCTACAGTGATTCGAACGGAAGTTTGGATCGTGAGAGATGGGTTGGAGCACAGGTCCGTTCGTGTAAGAGAGGATGTCGACAGAGGTTTCAGCTTGCTGTGGAAGATCAGAAGTAGTTACGACAGGGAGAAGATGGGTTTGGATCATGGAAGAGAGAAGAAGAATTGGAAGCCCTGTTTCATTTTCGTTTTATCAGCTGAGAGCGATAATAAGATCTACGTGAAGAGATGTGATATTTGATGGTTCGAAGTCGAATTGCAGAGCTACGGGACAGGACACTGTAGCAGACGGTGCGAGACTTGGGGAGGATTCGGTATGGGCAGCAGAGGTAATGATTTGAACATATCTTTTTTTGGGCTTTCTTACAGAGGTCAACATAAATATAAAAGAAATAAAGGGCAAGTAGTAAATTCGAACAAATTTCTCGTTTTGCAAAAACGCAACCACTTTTATTCAAAACAACAAAGAAATGAACGTTAAAAGGAACTTATGCTCATTTTAATTGTTCGACCCCACTCTCGTTTGGTCCGTCTCCGCACTTGTCTCTTACTCGCCACTGCCTCTGTGAAATCCCTTCTTATCCTGCCTCTCCATAGCCGCGCAACCCATATGCGATGCCAACCTTCATCGCCGATCATACCCACGTTCATCTCTCCAAGCGAGCACATCACGCGCAACAACAACGATCGGTCCACCCGCTCTCGCTTTTGCGTGCTACATTTGTGATCCTCCTAGCCCGTCTGCCCTCTCCAAAGCCTCTCTCTCTCTCTCTCTCTCTCTCTCTCTCTCTCTCTCTCTCTGTGTGTAGCTCACAGGAATCGAATCACCCAACCTAGTCACCCGCACTCAACTCCCTCTCTGCTAAACGCAAAAAAGTCGTCCGATCTTGACTCCCTCCTACCCATTGATCTTGTCGATCTCACCCCTTATCCGACTTGACTTCCTACACTACCAGCAGTAAAAAAGCCTCAATCGACTCCGACCTGGCTAGGGGTGTCAATATTTGACACGATTCGAAAACCTGACAAAAAATTTTTAGGTTCGAGTCAATCCGAACCTGAACTGGGTCGGGTTAAGAAATTTGATCCGTTTGTAAAATCGGATTGGGTTCGGATTGAGATGGAAACAACCCCAGTTGACCCGGGAAATCGCGTATATTTGTTTGTCACGTCTATCTGTCGTCCATCGCGTATGTCGTTTACGCATGTGGCCCAAAAACAATGTTAAATCGCGTATGTACATCACGCCCGAAGAGATGCTGACCTCGTCAATCGCATCCACTAGCATGTTGCAAGGGTGATGAGGTACCTTCAAATACTAAGGACTAGCTTATGTGCAGGACTAATACTTTAGAGGTGACTGACTACTTTGATTCTAATTTTATTGTTTGTGTTGATTCCCGAAAATCAATTTTTGGATATATATTTGTGTTTGCTGGTAGAGTTGTGTCTTGGAGGAGTGTTAAGCATACTTTAACTGCTACTTTTATCAGAGGTCTGAGTTTATTTCTTATTTTGAGGCTACCTTGCATGATGTATAGCTAAAGAGTTTCATTTAGAGGCTTAGGCTTATGTATTATATATTTAGCCTATGGGTTTAAGTGAATCGAGTCGGCTCGTACTCGAGTCATTGACGTGCTCACAAGTCAAGTTCGAGCTAGGCTCAGCTCGTGAGCTTGTTGAGACGCTCGTTTAAATTAAATTATATTTAAAATCTAATTTTAAAATAATATAATAAAATATACACTAAATATTTTTAATTATTCATGAGTCAAGTTCGAGCTTTCTTAACGAGCTCGAGTAATCAAACTGGACTTAAGCGTAATAAATTTCGAAAGAGTTCAAGTAGAGCTTTAGCTCGAGCTCAACAAGAGTTAAATAAGCTTAGCTCGATTAGACAAATACTCGGCTTGACTTGACTCATTTACACCCCTAATCTAGACCATTTATGATATATTATGACAATTCAGTTACAATTTTTATGGCTAAGAACATTAAGAGTGGTAGTCAAAGTAAGCTTATCAACATTAAGTACTTGTTATGGCAAAAACAATAATCCACGGCTAACAAATAGAACTCTTCACCTTGGGTCCCTCACTCACGCTCTTAACGGTGGTGCTTTAACGTAGGAAGATTGAGAGCAAACCGAGCAATGCTACTAATAGACAAATGGTGCCCAAAGTATAGTCATTTGGGGAAGTAGCCGACGACGGGGAATCCACGGGATGACTAGTGAACATCCAACGTCCATGAAGAATGTGCTCCTTGATGGAAGGTACTAGTATAAACAGGATGCGATGTAAGTAATCCTCCACGGAAGAATCCACGTCTACATTCACTTCAAATAGAGGAGATTCAAGGATGTTGGTCAGTCCTTGATCATCAAATAAGAAACCATGGTTGACTTCCGGATCGGCCATGCATAGTGGTGGCGACGGTTGGGGAAGAGCACACTTGAGATTGGTGAGGAGAAAGGGAGGGGATGATGGGAGATGACTTGGGAGGGTAAGGGGGCGGCTAGGGTTAGGGTGTCTTTTGGTTGAATCAAGTAGCTTGGGGGAAAGTAGATGAGAGGGAAAATCTGAAGTTTAATTTCAGATTTTTATTAAAGGGAGAGGGATAATTTGAAATTCAAATCAACCCAATTAAGGGAGTAATGGGGCCGGCGGTTACTAGAGGGATTAAGAGGGAAATTAAATGTTGCTTAGGTGGCAAAGTGGAGAGAGGGAGGAAGGGGAGAGGGGCCGGTCCTATGGGGAGTTATTTTTGTGTCTAAATTCAATGTGAGTGGGGCCCATGTGATTGAAAAAATAATTAAATCAAATTCTGAATTAAATTCAGATTTGACTATTGGTTGAAAAATATAAGTTGTTTTGAAAAAGTATTAATTTTCTTTGGGAATATTAACTTTTAAATTTTAAAATTGAACACGTCATTATGAACAGTATATCGCCTCGAGAGGTGATCATATCGTTCCCTAATGTGTTCAAATTTCAGAATTCTAATTTTATCCAGATTATCGTAGTCAAACTCAAAGGGAGAATCACATTTGACCTCGGAGGGGGTCTTGGCTTCGGCGGTCGGTGGTGGGGGAAGTGGTGGGGGAAGTGGGGCCGGACGGAAGGTGGGAGGGGTGGGATCTAGTGATTAACGGAAAGGGAAGGGGGTAGGTTGCTGTCCGGTCAAGGGGTGGCTGGTTTTGGGGAGCTGGTGGATAGGGGAGAAGAAAAAGAGGTGGAAGAAGATGATAGGAACCAAGAGCTCCCACAAAGGGGGTTGTTGGGTATTTCGTTGAGCCTTTCCTAGGCTACTCCTCACCTCTCAAGCTCTCACAATCAAGAACTCAAAATCTGAAATTTTATTCATTCAACATTAACCTCATACAAAGATAAGGACCTCTATATATATGCCTCAACAAAAGACATGCAAAAACACTCATATGCCCCAAGGGCTACAACAAGGACTTAACACCCATAGGGATAAACTAGTAAACTGAAAATATCAAATAGAAAAATACATGAAAATAAATGAAAGATATTAACTCCGAATCGTAGCCGTCGATCTACGATTCCTCCGATGGTACACATGTTGAAATCTCAGACTGATGTCCTCATCAAAATTTGTCAAAGAGAATCCAATGGTTATTGAGCACACGAGCACTGAGTTGCTGATAGCGGATCCTTTGACTAAAGGCATGCCACCACAAAAGGTTAGAGATCATCTTAACCATATAGCTCTTGATTATTTTGATTGATTTCATTGTATAGATGAATATTATAACAACAACAACAACAACAAGCTTTTGTCCCACTACGTGGGGTCGGCTACATGAATCATTTTTCGCCATTGTGTCCGGTTAAAAGTCAAATTCTCATTTAAATCTAATAAAGAAATATCATTTCTAATATTTTCTAACCAAGTCTTTTTAGGTCTACCTCTACCTTTTTTAACATAAGTCAAATCTAATACCTCAACTATATATATATATATATATATATAAATAATTTGGGGAATATGTCTCGAATCCAAAATCTGAAATTTTAAAAATATGTCTAGAATCAAAATTTTATTTCTTATATCAAAACAATGGTGGAATTTGATTTTGACTCAAGAAATCATTTGACAAATTAAAACGAAAGCATAAGAAAGAAAGCATTTTTGTTGGAAATAAAGAAATAAAATTGTAAAACATAAGCCAATAGCAAGAGTTAATGTCACATATTTCTACTTTTAATAGACTAAATGTTCCAACATCATATATCCTGCTTCAAATTTTGAGATTTTCAAACTTACAATTCACAAAGTCTCAACGTTTGTAATACCAGAATTATGATGGTGCGGTAGGGGACATAAATATCAGAGAAAACAGGTTACAGTACGTAGATTTCACTTTGCCATACACAGAATCAGGGGTGTACATGATTGTTCCATTCAAAATGGTGCAGAAGAACATATGGATCTTTCTGAAGCCATGGAGCAAAGATTTATGGTTTGGAGCCATTGCCTTCTTTCTCTACACAGGTTTTGTTGTGTGGGTAATGGAGCATAAGGCAAATCCTGAGTTCAGTGGTTCACGCACGCATCAACTTGGAACCATCCTACACTTCTCCTTCTCAACAATGGTCTATGCTCATAGTTAAGTAAATTCCTTGTTTTTTATTTTTTGTCTTAACTTCTTTAGCTAGTTTTTAACTTATGAAGTAGTGTTATGTAAGGTTTAGCTCTTGATAAATAGTTTACTTTAGGGTAAAAATAAAATTGAAGAATGTTATTCTCTAAAAAAATGAGGGTAAAAGTAAAAAATTGATGAAAAATCTATCTAATACAAGGCAATTTGCACAGTGCTAGTATTTTGACTAATTTATTATTATGTTCATACTTTTAATGAAAAAAAAAAATGTTCATACTTTTAATGAATCCCTTCTGCTTAATGATTATTTTTTTAGATACTTAATACTATATGATTGACACCGGACCGGAGGGGGCTCGACGAGTCCACGTCGATGATCCGGCCGTGTCCGGGCTCAGATCCATGAACTCCTTGGAATAAATCACCACCTGAAATAAGTTCAGGATACATAAAAGACAACTAAACTCAAATCAAATCTATTCCATCCTCCTCTATTATTCACTAATCAGTTATTTATACACCATTTGGGTCACAAGATTGGATATACCAACGACAAGAAACGAATACAAGAAAATTACAAATAAGTGAATTTTATAACAGAACCCGAAATGGGTTGCAAGCACAGCTCCAACGTCAATGATGTTGTCTATCAAATTTACTAAAATCTTATAAAAAGATCAACACAAAACATCCTTATGAATGTTTGAATTTCTCACACATTACCTATATGTTTTTCTCTTGCAATCTATTTTTCACCTCCTCATGTAGTGGACATTTGTCACAAATTCCTTACAAACTGGAGAGTAAACATTTTAGGCTAAACAAATGTTACAAAAACTTTTGAAGTTAAATATGTGAATGGTTATGCTCCTCTTACAGTGACAAAACATAACTGCATACTTTAAACACAATGTATTTGAATTTTTATCTCATTTTATTAGTGAGAAGCATAATATATTTTACTTTTGATCATGTATGAGCACAGGGGAGCATCTGGAGAATGTGTTATCTAAGCTAGTGTTGATAATATGGTTATTTGTAGTCCTCATATTGACATCTAGCTACACTGCAAGCTTAGCATCCATGCTTACAGTACAAAAACTTGAGCCAAGTGTGACTGATTTCCATCAACTCATTAGAAATGGAGATAATGTTGGTACTACTAATGGCTCTTTTCTGGTTGATCTCTTAAAAAAGCTTACATTTGATGAAAAGAAGGTTAATGAATACAACTCTGTGGAAGAATTTTCTGAAGCTTTGTTAAAGGGAAGTCAGAATGGTGGAATCACTGCTATATTTGAAGGGCTTCCATTTGTTCAGCTCATTATTAAGCAACAGTGCGCAAATTTTACAGTAGTTGGCCCAATTTTCAAGAATCAAGGGCTCGGTTTTGTAAGTGCCCACTTTCCTCTTGTTACCATCAATTTCCACACATATAAGTATGAAGAAATTCTTTACAAATATTTACACTTGTAGTAATGATTTGATTGTTTGTACACTCCTGTTTTGGTTTAGGTTGCTTATTCAACATGAAATAAACTTTTTACAGATTAGGCAATTAATGAAAATTATTTATAGTAAACAAGACACAAAACTCACAAACTACAATTTTATTCACTCATTCACTTGAAAATTTTTATTTTGATACAAAAATATATAGACTTGCAATGCTTTATGGAGCAGAATGTTGGCCATTAAAAGAGAGGCATAATACTAAGTTAAGTATTGCGGAGATGAGGATGCTTAGGTGGATGAGTGGATTTACCTTTAGAGACAGGATACGAAATGAGCATATACGTGAAAAGGTTGGAGTAGCTCCAATGGAAGATAAGATTAGAGAGAGTTGCCTTATATGGTTTGTTCATATAAAACGATGGCGTTTTGATGACCCGGTTAGGAAAGTAGAGGTAATATATTTGAATTAGATTAAGGTAGAGGTAGACCTAAAAAGACTTGGCTAGAAAATATTAAAAATGATATTTCTTTATTAGATTTAAACAAAAATTTGACTTTTAACAGGACATAATAAAGAAAAAAAATTCATGTAGCCGGTCCCACATAGTGGGACAAAGGCAGATGTTGTTGTTGTTGTATACAAAAATATATACACGCATGATAACATTTTGTATCTAACATTCTAACTGCAATATTGTTTTTACAGGCATTTCCAATAGGTTCACCTCTAGTCCATGACATTTCAAGGGCTTTATTAAAGGTGGTTGAGGGAGATGAAATCACTAATATTGAGAATAAATGGCTTGTAAATCAAACTTCATGTCAAATTCAAGGCAATACCATCTCATCAAACCACCTAGACTTTAATAGTTTTGGGGGACTCTTTCTCATCACCGGAACTGTTTCAACATTTGCTCTCTCTATATTCGTTATCATATTTATACATAAAAATTGGCATAAACTACGAAGCATTGGTGCAGAAAATAACATATGGAGGAGATTTGCCACAAGTTTCAATTGCTATAACAACAGCAGAAATCTAACTCTTTCAGCAAAGCCCCCAAACAGAGAAATAAGTCTCCAAGCTTAGTTGCAGCATCCTGATGGAAAGAAGTATTGGGCTCCTATTTTGTTATCGCAACATAATGTATAATTACTTTTCATCATTGTCAAATTTTTGTACCTTATCTGCTGTAAATTTAGAAGCATAAATTTTATGTATGAGAATTTTGATGCTTGATTGCAAAATCTACACTATTTTGCAGAAAATGATGTCTTCATTCCTTTGCAGCATAGAATTTACGAAGTAATTATGTAATATTTATCAAAAAAATTTCATTTAAATTAGTGACACATTGAGTGCTCATAAAATAGTTGATGTAAAATCCTTTTAATTCAATAATTATTTCTCATTTCAATGTTCATACTTTTAATGGCACTTAGTTTGCCTCACATATCCCTGCCACCTACTTCAATATTATATATGTATGTATGTAAGTATGCATAAAATCGTCCACAAAAATCACGAGTATAAATCAACACGAGTGTCGAGATGATTGCTTGCAGATCAGGCAAGCTGCATGCAAATGAGGGAAGTGCGCACAAATTGAAGTGTTTCAGATGGCTACCTCGATTATGCTTTTTCAGAATATAATAATAATAATAATAATAATTCTTTCAAACAGAGAAATAAGTCCTCCAAGCTTAGTTGCAGCATCCTGATGGAAAGAAGTATTGGGCTCCTATTTTGTTATCGCAACAGAATGTAGAATTACTTTTCATCATTGCCAAATTTTTGTACGTTATCTGCTGTAAATCTAGAAGCATAAATTTTATGTATGAAAATTTTGATGGTTGATTGCAAAATCTACAATATTTTGCAGAAAATGATGTCTTCATTCCTTTGCTGCATAGAATTTACGAAGTAATTATGTAATATTTATAAAAAAAACATTTAAATTAGTGACACATTGAGTGCTCATATAATAGTTGATGCAAAATCCTTTTAATTCAATAATTATTTCTCATTTTAATGTTCATACTTTTAATTCAACTCAGTTTGCTTCACATATCCCATCTACCGACTATATATATGTATGTATCCTCACCTATACTTACATATTGGCCTCTCCCGTTCTCCTTGCAGCCCTCACGCATACCCTATGCACTCCGAAAAATTATTACCTGCAGCGTCTGAATTCTTCTTGTGCCGAATTCGGACGCGCTACATCACCTGAGGCCCAGTGTATTTGGGTGACGTGGCACATCCAGATTTGACTCCGGACGATCCGGACACCGCACGTAATAATCTCTCATGCACTCCCACATGTGAGACCCCCAACCCGTCAAGTAACTCTCGATTTCACGAGCATCCTCTTCACTTCCGTATGGCGAATTATTACATCCGGTCACCTGACAGAGATAAATTTGGATTTCTCTCTGTCTACAGTAAAAATGCAGTCAAAGCGCAGTTACTGTAGCAGCTGCATTTTGACTGCGCTTTTAGTGTAGACAGAGAGAACCCGGCCTAATAATTTGTCCTTCCCTACAGCTCTTCACAGTAGCCGAACACCTCCTAGCCGTAAGTCCATAGCAAATCAAATTGACCGTCCCAAGCATCCTGACCTTAAATCCCTCTAGCTTACGACTCCACCTTTCCCATCTCCTCCCTATTGCACGACTCACGATAAGCCACAATCCACTCGCCAACCATCTCCAGATCTCGATTCCTCCGATTTTCCTCACGGGTGAAAGCCAAACCGCATTGACCTCTTCAAGTCGCAAGATCAAACTCCACCTAGCTACAGCTCCCATCAATCCCATCTAAAGACAGAGGAAAGGACGCTGGAACGAAGATGAGACAGCAATGTAAAAGCTAATTGTATTGTATTATTATATCCATCATGTATTACAGTGCTTAACTATATATAGACTTTTAGGCAAAGTGCCTTTACACGTGGATGACTGAGATTGGTTGATGCAGTTATTGTTAAACGGTGGATATTGATTTAGCAGCTTCTAGACTCGCTGTCCATGTGCTGTCTGTTGCAGGTTGAGTTATGTGTGTTGTTAACCCCTCGCAAACTGACGGCGAGTCTTGAGCCGTGAGTTTGGATCACAGGAGTTGAAAACTTGAAATCGAGAGGTGGATAAAGGATTAGTAAGTATGTCTGCCACCTGATCTATCGTCGAGATTGGAAGAACAGTTATATGCTTAGCTTGAAGATGGTCTCAGATGAAGTGTACATATACTTCGATGTGTTTCGTTCGGGAGTGGAACACAGGATTGTTTGCCAGAGCGATGGCAGACATGTTGTCGCAGTGAATCTCCGTTGGCTCTGTTTGATGAGTTTGAAAGTCGGAGAGGAGTCGCCTGAGCCAGATGGCGTCTGACGTTGCTGCTGCTAAGGATCTGTATTCGGTATCTGTAGAGGATCGAGCGACTGTTGTTTGTTTCTTGACAGTCCAGGAGATCAGTGTATCGCCGAGAAAAGAAAAGTACCCGGAGATGGATCTGCGAGTTAAGGGATCGGTGGCCCAGTCCGCGTCCGAGAAGGTACAAAGAGTTAAGTTGGATTTAAGGATGGGAATACCGAATTGGCTGGTGCCTTTAAGGTAGCGTAGAAGGCGTTTTAGTAGGCTAAAGTGAAGTGGTTGTGGGTTGTGAAGATGTTGACTGAGAGCGTTAACAGCAAAGGAGATGTCTGGCCTAGTAATGGTTAGATATTGAAGTGAGCCTTTTAAGTGTCTGTATGAGATGGGATCAAAGAAGTTTGGTAGAGCAGGGCAGTTGACAGGATCAAAGAAGTTTGGTAGAGCAGGGCAGTTGACAGGTAACTTGGTGAGGGACGGATTGGCTAGAGGCTTGCAGTGGATTAAGCCGACTTGCTGTAGAATGGCTTGAGTGTATTGAGTTTGCGTAAGAAACATGTGATTGCCATTGTGTGCTATTTCAATGCCAATGAACCTCGACGACTTTTCCAGATTTCGTATGGAAATATTGTTGCTTATAGCAGACATGACGTTGAGTAGGTGTTTGGAGTCATTTCCAGTGAAGAGTATATCATCTACGTATATTAGAAGATAGGCATGAGTGTCATTATGATGATAAGTGAAGAGAGAAGGATCAGCTTGGCTTTTGGTAAAGCCTATAGATAACAAAAATTTGGAAAAGGTGTGGAACCATTGGCGGGGAGCTTGTTTGAGACCATAAATCGATTTTTGGAGAAGCAGACGTGGTTGGGAAGTTGGTTGTTTTCGAAACCAGTTGGTTGTTTCATGAAGATTTGCTCGTTTAGAGAACCATGTAGAAATGCGTTCGTGACGTCCAGTTGATGAAGAGGCCAATGGTTATTGAATGCAACTGTAAGGAAGACCCGAAGAGAAGGGAATTTGGCGACGGGACTAAAGGTTTCCGTATAGTTGAGGCCATACTCCTGTCGATGCCCTTGTGCTACTAAGCGAGCTTTGTAGTGTGCAATTGTGCCGTTAGGATTGGTTTTGATTTTGTATGTCCAGCGAGAGCCGAGAATCATTTGATTAGGGGGAGCGGGGACTAGTGTCCACGTGCCTTGCTGTTGAAGGGCCAGAAATTCGGATGCCATGGCATTTCGCCAGTGCTGGTGACAAGTTGATGGTGGAGGTCTAGTATTTGATGAGGTTTGAGCGAGCCCGTTTGTTTACGAGTGATCATGGGATGATGAGGAGGAGGTGGAGATACTGGTTGATCTGGCTAGATTGAACGAGGAGCAGAGAGTGTTGATGTAATGGTTGTAGTTGTAGGGGTGACGGTGTGAGAGACAGAAGAGACTGGTTGATTTGGCTGTATTGAAGGAGCAGAGAGTGTTGAGGCTGTATATGGAGAAAGCATAGAGGTGGGAATTAGAAGATGAGGATTGGGAGAATAGGTTGTGGATTGAGTTTGCATGGTGTTATCTGGGATTGAGAAGGGAAATTTGTTCTCGTCGAATATGACGTGACGAGAAATGTACATTTTGCCGGTCTTTGGTTCAAAGCATTTGTAGCCATTGTAGTTAGAAGCATATCCTAGAAAGACACAGAGAATGGATTTAGGAGCTAGTTTATGATGGTTGTGAGGGGGAAGAAGGGGAAAGCATTGATAGCCGAATACTTTGAGGTGTTTGTATGAGGGTAATTTGTGAAACAATATATGGTGAGGAGATTTGTTGTGAGTGGTGTTCGAAGCCATAATGTTAATGAGGTAGACAGCGGCAGAAACAACGTCCGGCCATAGCTTGTATGGAATGCTGGCTGACTGAATGAGAGTTCTCGTTGTTTCGATTCTATGGGATGTTTCCTTTCCGCTATGCTGTTTTGCTCAGGAGTATAGGGACAGCTTAATTGAGAGCTTATGCCGTGTGATTTTAGATAGTTCTAAATTGTATGATTAGTGAATTCTGTCCCTCCGTCGCTTCTTAGACATTTGATTTTGCATGAGAATTGTGTTTCGATCATTTTGTGAAAGTTATAGAATGTGGAGAAGACGTCGAATTTTTGTTTTAGAAAATACAACCATGTGTATCTTGTAGCGTCATCTACAAATATGATATAATATCGAAAGTCTTGAGTAGAAGTAATTGGGACCGGTCCCCATACGTCTGTATGTATTAACTCAAACTTTTTGTATTGATGATTAGAAGAGGTAGAGAAAGATAGTTATGACTTTTTGAGGTCTTGCAAGCTATGCAAGAAAACGGAAAATACGGAATCTGAAGATAACTAGTTTGTTTTGAGATTGTAGCTAGTACTTGAGTATGAGGATGTCCTGATCGATGATGCCACTTGATGGTTGATGATTGTGTTGCTGTGAGGGCTGCTTGATGAGAAGTAGGTGACGTTGTTGCTGAAACTGGATATGCCATTACGACATTTTCCCGAGAGCAGAGTCAGATTTGTCTTCGGATCCTTGATGAGAAAGCCAGAGGAGTCAAAACAGATGGTGAGATTGTTATCATTAGCTAAGTTAGATACAGAGAGAAGATTGTGAGATAGCTTGGGAATATGAAGAAGTTGAGGAAGACTTAGCATACGGGATGGTGTGGGAAGGAGTCCACGACCTGTGTGAGTAATGGGTAAGTTGCGACCGTCCCCAATCGAGACGCTGTCTGAGCCACGGTAATCCTCAATGTAGCTTAGATTATCCAGGTTGTTTGTCATGTGAGTAGATGCACCTAAATCCAGGATCCAGCTGCTATTGTTAATTCACTTTTTAATTAATTAACCCTCTCATTTAAAATTTCTTTATACTTTTATAGAAAATTATATATATGTTGTAATGTATCTTAAAGTATTTAAAATAAAAAAATAGTATATTATAAATGTCTTAACGTAGTACTGTCGTTGCCAGGTTCCAAATCCTAGATGAAAAAAGTAGAGGATTGCGTTAAGTAGTCGACAACCAGTATAAAACATGTCGAATAATCATAATATGAATTCTTTAATGCATTGTGGTAATGTTATGGTGTTCCCTGGAAGTGACGCCATATATGACGTGAATACAGTGAGAAGTGTGCAAAGGCTGCTGCATTAGCGCATATGTTCAGTGTTAAATAGGCAAGGGTTCCTACATCATAGACAGATGTGGACAAAGAAGCTAGTTCATGAAATTGAAATTTGGATATAGGATCTTAGAATATATATAGGTTCTGTAATATCAAAAATCTGCTCCAGGATCGTCCAGGACGATCTGGATCGTCCTGGGACGATCAGTGGAAATTTTGCTCCAGAATTTGCCCAGTTTTGCTCCAGGTGATTTTTTGTAGCTAATCTTCTCAAATTTAATGAATCTACTCCTATAAAACTTCCAAATGTTCTCTTTCTCTCTCCTCTAATTTAAAACATAAGGTATGCATATTCTAAAAATTCATTTTTAATCCAAGTAATCCCTTTACCATTACTTAAAATAATTCAAAATAGTTTCTATTTTCGGATTTAACCTAAAACCCTAAATTTGAAAAACCTTTTTTCATTAATTCCCTTATATAAACATGATAAACCTTTCCTTATACCTAATTAATAATTGAATTAATATATTTTTATATTTAATTTAAATTAAAATTATAAAATGACATTTTGTATAAAAACTCTAATTTATATCTTTAGAAGCCTTCCTATGATCATTTGAAATATTATTCCTCAAAAAATTTCTTAAAATTTCAATAATATGAAAAGCCCTAATTTTTAAATCTCATAAATAATTTGAGTAAATTTCATTTCTATGCTTAAAACATCTTCCTTAACCTTCCATATTCAATTCGTAAGGAAAAAACTAGGTTTTTGTCAAACACTAGAAAATTCCTTTCAAAAATCTAAGTGAAATGAATGAATATCTTACTTAAAAACTCACCTTAGCCTCCTTGAATCTCCCTCTTCGATTTCCCCTAAGCCCGGTCATCGAAAACCACCGTCGGAGCCGCTCACCCAAGTCTTGTGTCGCCTTGCCTGTCCGCCCCTTCTCCCTTTCTTCCGCTCGGTTGAGTTTCGGCTGAACGAAACAAATGGGGACCGAATAAGTTTCAGTCTCCTTATAAGTAGGCAGGTAAAGAGAAAAGATAAAGGACCAATTTTCCCTCACTTAATTCATCCATGCTTGAATAAACACTAAGGGTATTATAGGTTTTAAGAGACTTATATGAATTTTAATCTCTAAATTAAGAAAAATTAGATATAAGTTTTATATACCAAATTTCTTAGAATTTTGCTTATAATTTTATAAAATTATTTTTATCAAAATCCGACGACTTTGAAAAATTCACTTAAATCTCGTCGCGGTGCATCGAAATACGTGTGATGCCCTATGATCATCGTTTTCGGGTTTTACATTAACACTCAAGGCATCAGTTGAAATGCTTCTTGCAAAACATTTATTAAAAATACATAGAATACAGAGACAAGATTATGATGGAGCATCTAATATGAGGAGTAAGTTTAATGGTTTGAAAGCACTCATTTTAAAAAATAATTCTCAGACATTCTAAATTCATTGTTCTGCTCATCAACTTCAATTATGTTTGATGTTTGTTGCAAAAAAATCATTGGCAAGTAAAATATTTATTTAAGATTACTTCAAGAATTGTCAATATAGTTTATGCTTCATGTAAGAGAAATGATACCCTAAAATCTATTCAGCATGATAAAATAAATTTTCATTTAACCAGTAGAGAGCTAATTAGTGATCGATATTTGAACCAAGAAACCAATTTGAATCATGCTGGTGACACATGTTAGAGTTTGTATTTTCAAACATTAATCAGTCAAAGAAAAATGTATGCTTCTATGATCGAAGTACTTGAAATTGCCAAGGAAGAGAGGATACATGATCAACATTCAGTTGAAGTAGGTGTTTTAATACATTCTATGGAATCATTTGACTTTATCTTGACATTGTATTTAACGATTGATGTTTTAGAGATTACAAATGAATTATCACAAGCCTTGTAAAAAAATGATTAATATATTTTAAATGCAATGACATTGATACAAGTGGCCAAGCAACGATTACAGATGTTAAGGAAAAATAGATGAAAACCTTTACTAAAGAATTGTCACATTTTTGTAATATTTTTTAAATTAAAGTTTCAAATATGGATTCTAAATTCAAGGCTCGTCACTACAGGAAAACACGGGATTACCGGCGGAAGTTCAGACAGAAAATTTTATGCCGGTAGAAAACGGCGCATGCAACGGCGTAATGTGCGACAGGAATCTTGTGATGCAATTACCTGCGCAGTTGGAGCCGGAACATTACCGGCGCCTGCTGTGCTGGTAATTGCTCTGGACAAAACTAGTAGTTTATTAGTTCCGGCGCACGTTACGGCGAAAAAATAATCGGCACAATTACCGGCGAATAATGCGCCGGTCTATTTAAACTCAACGACTTATTACCGGCGCTGTATGCGCCGGAAATGTTTCCGATGTCTTGGACGCCGAAAAATCCGCCGGCGAAAGCTCTATTTTCGAACACGTCCCCCTATGGTCGCTCATTTCTTTCGTTGCATTCTCTCACATCGCCGCTATTACGCTCGTCGCCCTCCGTTGCTCGCCGTAGATCAAGGCCGCCGATGGTCACCGGACGTCGCCGATAGTCACCAGACAGTCATATCACCCCTCGCCGGTGAGAGCACCAGTTCCGACCGCTAGTTTCCCCGTCCGCCTCCCGTCATTTAGCCATTGATTGTAAGGTTTTTTTTTTTTTTGTTTAATTTGTTTGAAATCATGGTTTTTTAGTATATTATGGGAGGATTTGTATTTTTCTTGAAAAATTGATTTAAGAACACATTAAATAGTATGAGAATTTTATATAATTATGGGAGGATTTGTATTTTTCTTGAGGATAAATTTGCACTAGGACCTTTTTTCATATGGGTGTTTTGCAATATTAAGTAACAAAAATCTCATTTTATTGAAGATGAGGGCATCTTTGATTTCAAGTAAATTTTTATTATTTGTATTGCCATGTGTGTTTTCTTGCCGCAGCTCATATTTCGTTATTGTTTATGTTGTTGATAAGTCAATGCATATCATTTGCTTTCAGTTTTTCATATTGTGAACTTTGGACAATTGGTGACTTTCCTGCATATGGTAT